CGAAATATTCCGAGGAAGTGCATAGTGTCCACTTTGGAGCCTCGGCAAAACAGATAAGTATGCATACGGGTGCTTTCTTTTACAAAGCGTCAAATGGCAAAATAAAATGTCGTTCATTTTGTACCTCTTCCGATAATCTTCGTCACGACGCACCAGCTGTTTGGGCACACCTACAGCCAGTTTTAAACGAAGTAAAAAAAGAAGTACCTAATCTGACTACTTTACATTACAAGACTGATGGCCCTACCTCTCAATATCGCAATAAAACAAATTTTTATCTTTTCAAAGAGCATAATAAAATATTGAAGTTGAAAAAGGCAACGTGGAATTTAACAACTCCTGGTCATGGCAAGAGTACTGCAGACGCTATTGGTGGTTGTGTCAAAGGTTTGTGCGATCGCGCCGTGTTACACGGGAGTGATGTTATTTCAGCTAATGATGTTCTTAAGGTCGTTGAAAATTCAAAAGAAAGACAAACCAAAGTGTTCGTTATTACGACAGAAGACATTGAAAAAATGGATGCGATGGTACCCAAAGATTTAAAACCAATTCCAAATACTATGAAAATTTATCAGGTGCAATGGTTCGAAGGTCAAAAAGATTGTCTTTTTACAAACTCACTTTCGTGTCCATCTTGTTTAGATAAGCAATGCGTACATTATCCTCTATCAAGTGAAGCATTTCAATTCAACAAAATGAAAAAAGCAACAAAAGTATCAAAAACAACGATAAACAAAAAACCAAAAGTCAATAATAAAGTTTCAAATAGGATTAAGACACAAAAACGATTGAAGAAGATTCCAACTGAAGAGAAACAAAAAAGTGATAAATCTAAAACAAAAGACAAGGGAAAAAAGTCAATTCGTGTATCAAAACGTAAAAAAAATGTATAATCACAAATAGACTGATGATTACCTGATTGTTAATTGTGATAATTAATTTAGTAATGTAAATGTTATTGTGCTCAAAGTAACTTTGTTATGTAAAATGTAGTGTTATTGAATAAGGTATTGATTTGTTGATAAAATTACTGTGTGTATGCACAATGAACTAGTTAATATTTAAATATGTATAAACTGTTCTTATATTGTACGAAATATATTTATATTGTTAAAAAATTTATATTTACATATGAGACTCTGCTAAAATATTAGCAATATGACTTTGTAATTGTTACTCATATGTTTAAAACATTTATCAATAAACTTGCAGTCAAAATATGTTACAAATTTTTTTTTTTTAATGAAATTTTTTTTTTACGCAAAAAAAACACCTGTGCCTCAACAAAAAGTGAGTAACGCGAATATATTCTTATTCTACATGTCAAAACATATCCTAGAACAAATTTTTGGAGATGTGCTTTCAAAAATGAAAATCAAAAAAAAAAAAAAATCAAATAGTCCCATTTCTGTGGAATTGCTCATATACTTTGCATTTCCAATGCATTTTGTAACAAGATAAACAGAACTACATAACAAAAAAAAACATAACTCGAAGGTACATGGTAGGCGCCGGGCGGATTATCTCTTTCAAAATATGTAATTGGTATAGGTAATATAACACTGCTGAAACAAAATTATATTGTCATAAATATTTATATTTATATATTGTAAATGTGTAAAATTTTGTTATTGTAACTCACACAAATAATTTATTTAGCATTCGTGGATGCTAATGCACACTCCATGCAATCCTTTGTTGCACTTATTACAAATTGTGTGTGATTTTCTTTCTAGACCACTATCCTTTCTGCTGCAAACTCTTTCCAAATTTCCTGGCAGTTTCCGTACGCCTATACGTGGCACATTTGTTGAACTTTCAGCCAATGGTGTGTCGTGTGCTACCCTCTTTATTGCCACTCATTCAGTAGTTATTGACTGGATAGTATCAGTTATAAATTCAAGTCGTGTTTTGGTTTTGCCGTCTGTATTGTTCTGATATAAGATGTAGGCATTTAGGACCTTTCGGGAAAAAATGGAGAAAACTACTTTTTTCCATCATTTTACGGTTCATCTTCCATCCAAGTATGAGTACAACATCATGTCTGACGTGCCTATGCCTCCCACATGTTTATTATATTCTGCTATGATTGCTGGTTTTTCGACCTGTATTTGAGCATTCCCTTTTCTAATTGTAGTCGTTTTGTTCTCAGCTATTTCAAATATGGACAGGAGTAAAACATTTTTCTTCTGCGACTTTTTTTCTCGGTACGCTAATAGCAATAGTTCGTTATTTCGGGCGTACTTAGATGCGCCCTCTTGCAATTTAGGCTTCATAAATGATGGTATATATTTCCTGTTGCTGCGAATTGTGCCAGTCAGGTACGTCTCTTTTCCAAACAATGCTCTAGCTAACGAAATGCTTGTAAAAAAATTGTCAGCAACCACGTGATAGCCTTTCATAAAATAATTTCCTATATTCAATAATTTATGAATCACGACGTGGCCAAGACCGTTCTTCTTTATTTCTTCTTTATCAGTTTGATCTCTGGCTCCTCTATAGCAGAAAAATGATAGGCAGTAATGGGTAACTGCATCAGTCAGCATCCAAAACTCTATACCCCATCTGTGATGCTTTTTATTCGGCAGATATTGCATCAACGACGTTCTACACTTCGTGCCGACTAATGATTCGTCAATACTCAGATGTTGATGAGGCGAATAGTGAAATTTGAATTTATTGTTTGCGTGGATAACGACTGGTTGAAATTTCGCTGTAGGGTCATATATTTTGGGCTATCACGTGCTAGTAATTTTTCATTGTCTACGACATGAAAAAATCTCGAAACTAATTGAAATCTGTTTCGACTGAACATTTTGCCAAACCATGGGATATGTCTGTGGTTTGTTGACCAATAGCTAAAAAGTGTTGATCAACGTGTGATACCCATTTCCAAGAATACAGCAATAAAAGCCCTCATTTCTGACACTGAGGTTGCCTTCCACTCTGTTACTCTCGATCCTGAGGGAACGTCGATTCTATTCAGGAACTACCTGGCATAGCGATTCGTCTCACTCCTCAATGAGCTCAAAAATTCTTCCGTAAAAAATAGATCGAAATACGCTCTGGGTATGGAATTTCTTACTGGCATATGTTTAGGCTCAGCAATTTCCATAAATTGTGGTCAAGTATTATGTTCGCTGTCATTGACCACGGTAACTTCACGGAAATTTGTCAACACTTCCTCAGTATCGAGTTCCTCTAATTCCGATTCGCTATCATCGCTCGTTTTACTATCACTGTAGATCCTACGTGGATGCCGACTTCTTGATGCCACGATTTCTTCCTCGTCACTATGTGCTAGATCGATATGATCAACCATTCGGACTAATTCCGCGTCATCCATGACGGTGTATTTTTTTTATAAAACGGTTACTGGTAAAATTTTCTTCAAAAGTAGCAATGTTTGACAGAAGCGGAAAACAACGGCAATAACACAAAAGACGTTTTGAAACTGCAACTGAGACGAAATATACTGTTCACATCAACGGTCGTGGAGAAACTGACTGATCCTACGTTTCGCTGCGGCAATGCAACGTTATTTCGGGAGGGTCCTCAAACAGTTGTTTATATGAAACGCTGTCGACAAGTACCGATAAGGGCCCAACGCCACAGCGATGAATACCGCAGATCGAATATCGCCTTGAATGGCGACCATCGGTGTTTATGTTAGATTTCGGTACCTCCAAGCGATAGGAAAATGTTGTCGTCAAAGAAATAAAGCGAAAAACTATTTATTTTAATTCTCTCGTAATGAAATTAGATAATTTATAACGTATTCTAAATTTATTTTGAGATAGAGTTCTCCCGCAATGCAAATAGTAAAGCGCTACAAGGCGCGAGCCGATATATCGGCTCTGGCACTTCTCGCCAGTGCAACAAGAGCCGATATATCGGCCTCCGGCACTCAAAGGATTAAAGTACAACAAAGCTGGAATGTTGAAGACTAGGAGAAAGTGCTACTTTTAAATGAAACTAAAATGAATTTGTCTAGGGACGACGTCAGAAGGTACGTACGATGACTACAAAGTACTACATAGAATTCCAAATATCAAATACTTACTATTAAACATAACGGAGGTAGTATTGTATATGAGGAGCACTTTTTTGCCAAGGCGTCGGTCTAATCCTTAAAATAAAAGGCACTATACGGATTCTCTTGTGTAGAGAAATATTATATTAAAGCAAATGTGATCTTATGCTCGTTGTTTTCCAAGGGGATGGATCTTTCAGCAAGAAAATGATCCAAAATATCGATTGTAGCTCCTTCAGTAAGTCTTTAGTAAGAGAGTAATTCAAGTTTTAGAATGGCTGAGTCACTCTGGACTTGGATTCCATAGAACATTTGTGCAAGAGTTGAAAATTAAACTAGGGATTCAAAATGATGCTAATAAAGCTACTTTGTGAAAAAAAAGTTTAAAAAGAGTGGCAAAATATTCCTCAAAATAAAATGATCAAACTTAAGTCGATGAATTGTTAATGCACTACCATGATAGCTTCTCAGAGTATACCTACAACGTTTTAATAACCTTGTAATGTTTACCCCTATTTCCAGTATTTTTCTATTCTCATATTATTCTATTCTTATATAACTATTTTTTTTCTACGTATGAGAGCTAGTGTCATAGTTGGTCCGACAGTTATGAAAAAGAAAAATTGTTAATTTCATGATAAAATTTTGTTCATCCTTAAAATAAGTTTTTGAATCACACACTTTAATTGTATAATAAAAGTAGTTTATAATGATTTATTTAATTTTATAATAAATCAAAATTATTTTTTAAATGTAAAAATTAGAAATGTGAAATTAGCAACTGACAAAATGATTTATTTGAAAATAAATTATTGTATAAAAGTTACCGGTAGGCTTTGTTAACTAGTGAAAATTTGGTAAACTAATAATTAATTAATTAATTGTAAAATTTTCAATGTATTTATTAGTAGCTCTTGTTTTTTACGATGGTTTAACAAATATATTGTAAGAATAGAAATGTACTTACGATTACGTTTACGTTCCATAGGTCTTTCATCTTTTCTCAATGTACTAACAGGAGCATTACTGATTTCTAATCTTTCAAGTTCTGCTTCTCTTTGGATTTGATCCATGGTTTTTGGATTGCTATCATCACGACGTGGTACCCATTTATCAGTTCTTAAATCAATCACATCCTGAAGCATAAAACGAATCCTTGAGCTGACTTTACCCTTACGATTTGCAATTTGCTGCATTTGTTTAAAATAATCAGAAAGATCAATGTTTTTCGATTCAAGGGCTTTGCCAATTGTTGTAAGTAACTTGCAAAGACATTCAAGATTTTCTTCGTCCGTGTTTTTTAGAAGGTGTTGGATACATTGATGCATTATTTTCGAAGTGAGCATATTTTGTTTAAAAAGTTCTCCAATAAAACGAATATTGCCAACAGATTTCATACGCATTCGGCGCTCCTCTTCTTCCAAATTTGTCTGAAGCTCCTTTTTTTTCTCAGTATCTATACACTCATTGATTTCATACAGTTTTTCATTTCGAGTTTTTTCATCAACAGTATTCTTCTGAAATTCAGTTTGACACCGTGTTAAAATAAGCTTTCTGAAATTTGCTGAAGTCGAATCTTCAACGTCGCCGCCTGTCACTTGCATGTTGGCTAATTCTCTACACATCAAAGCATAAGCAACCGAAAAGTTTGGTTCATCTACGGCCTGAAAATATAATAAAAAATAATCTTAGTTGTATACGACTGATTCCTAAAATGTTGAAAATCAAAATGATTGAGCAAAACAAGCATTACAATTCAAGGAAAGTATATTCTCAAAAAGTTTTTAGAAATGTTCTGCTATTATAGAATTATATTGAGAGAGTGAGAGAGAGAGGGAGAGAGAGAGAGAGAGAGAGTGAGAGAAAAAGAGAGAGAGAGAGAGACTAAACCTTTCGAGTGTTGCACATACGGCAACACCTCAGAAAATCAACCGCCACCTCTCTGGCCTCATAATCGGTCAAATGATATTCGCTCAATCGCGACCTAACTGGAAAATCTTTCTTTTTATGTTTTCGTCCACCCACGCTCGTGAAAACGACGTGATAAGACGGCATCGCAGTTCGAACTAGAGAAGACGACTGACAAAAAAAAAGAGCGCACGGACATATACGAGGTGTGTTCAAAAAGTAAGGTGACTTTTCAAACTTCACGGGTAACGTACTTTCGATTATCGATTTTTTTTGTTTTGTTATGTTGGTACACTCTTCCCGAACATCTGTACCAAATTTCAAGTGTATAGCATTTTTTGTTTGGTTGTGAGAGGCGTAAAGGTTATAAGTGTTGAATGACGTCAACGACGACCTAGATTTACTCAAAAGGGTCATAACTGGTGACGAATCATGGACCTCGAGGAAACGTATTTTTCAGACGGGTTAAAGAAGTTGGAGCATCGCTAGGACAAGTGTATCGAACTAAAAGGCGACTATGTTGAAAAATAAAACGCCACTTTTCCAAAATTTTCGTTTTTCTTTTGTAGGCTAAGTACTTATCGGACCACCCTCGTATTTTCCTTGTGTATAGGAGGGCGAATGTCAAAACAAAAATTACGAAATTTTTGTTGTTTCTTTAACCCCTCGCCATTTCGAGAAAAAAATCGTAGAAAAAATCTAAAAAAAGTATTTCGTAGCTCTTTTATTATACTACTCAAAATACTCATTCAAAAATGCTGTTGATATAAATTCATCGATTATATCAGCATTTCATTCAAAAACAGTGTCTATATTCTTTATGTATATGTTCTTTATCTCGGAAAATTCGAATCGTAGAAAAAAATTTAATTAAATTAAAATTTTAAAACCGAAGAAAAGGCTCTATTTTATAAGGAGAATGCGTAAACGAAATTTCATAATCATATGAAAATATTTTTGTTTCAGTCATAATATCAAGTAGCCTAATTTTTTCAATATTTCATTTTTCTTCACTTTGGAAGAACAAAAAAGATCATTAATATGTGAAGCTATTCTATTTACTATGGACAAATTTTAACTGTATACATATCTCGATCAACGAAAAATCTAAGTCAGTATAACAACTATTAAGAAACAGTCGTAATACGATATAGGTTTGTTGAAACTCAACAGTAATGAAAATAATATTTGATTTGAAATAAGAACATTTTTGTTGCTCTTTATTGTCTCAATATAAGTAGAAAAATTAATTTAATACAACCCATAATTAGGATGAATTGTACTGTATCATACGATTAACTAGACTAAATATAAAGTAAACAAAAAAAAATTAAAAACTGTCGTTATGGCGGTAGCGAGCAGGAAGAAGGAGACGAATAGTGGAGAGCAAGAGTGGACAAAGCGGGGCCGGGTCAGACCAAAGAAAGTAGAAAACGAGAAGAAGGAAAACAGTTGGGAAAAGGATATAAGAAAGTTCATGCAAAGGGAGAAAGATAGTACGAAAATAGGTTTTACAAAAAGTGTCAAATCATACGGTAGCGCAGGGAAAAATCACAGTGAAATAATGGAGCAGGCAGAGAAAATAGGCCGACGACGACGAGGTAGCAGAAGAAAACGAACATGATGAGGTGGGAAAGGAGAAGGATGGTGAGGGAAAGCGAGAAGAGAATTCGGCGAAAGATAAAAGCGAGGAAATACGGAAGTAGCAGGCGGTAAAAGACGCACAGAAGTTGAATGGCAAAGAAGATGAGGCCGATTAGGAAGAAAATGAAGCAAGGAGAATAGAAGATCTAGGGACGGATGTAAACACAGACAAGAGCAAGGACACAAGCGAGGAAGAGAGAAGTAGAATAGGAGAGAAATTGAAGAAAATACAGGATAGAATGGGGGCGATGGAAGAGCAAAGAAGAATTGATGCGCAAGCAGTAGAAATGGCGAAAGAAACGATAAGACTGGCAGTGGAGAAGTTGGACAGAAAAATGTCAGAATTGATAAAACAAATAGGAGAAAAGGAGAGAGAACAAAAAGAGAGGTTGGAGGAGGAAATAAGAAAAATGGTTAGATGTGGCCAGTGTAGGAGGGAGGAAGGAAAGCAGGCAAACGAGAACGCAGAAAACAAGAGCAGCGAAAGGCAAGAAGAGGATGCGGCACAACGAGCAGACGCAGAGCATCAAGTAAACGTGGACAAGAACGGCGTGGAGGAAAAGAGAGAGCTGGAAGTGAATAAGCCGGACGCGATGAAAAAATCGGAATACGAGTTTGAGATAAAAGAGAGGAGAAATAGGAAGAATAATTTGTTTATCAGAGGAGTGAGGACATCGGAAAGAAAATGGAAGGAAGAAGCAGAAGGAATAATAATAGGAACAACAAGAAGGCAGTTTGGAATAAGAAGGATCCGGCCGTTGAGAAGAGGATTACTTTTAACATTTGAAAATTTTTGAGAAAAAATGGTGTTTATAGAACAGACGGAAATTTTTGAAAAAATAGAAATAAGTGTAGAGGAAGATAGAACATGCAGAGAATTAGAAGTGCAAAAATGCTTGAGATGGTAGCAGATCAAGAAAGGAAAAAACAAAAACAACTGCAGGTGGGCTACCTAAAAATAAGAATCAACGGAAAAATAAGCTTATGGGACGAAAGAAGAGGGGGTCTCGTAGAGGCAAAAGAGAGAATGTTTTTTCAGGAAAGAAGACAAGAAGAGGAACAGCGGGAACGGAGAGGGATACCACGGTGGGCAATACAGAACAGTTCTACGACAGGTTTCAGAACGAGTGAAGAAACAGCAATCGAGGAAGAGGAAAAAAGCAGTTTGGAGATCCAGGAAGATGACAAAACGACGGAGGGGACAATGAGAGAAGCAACGACGAGCGGAGAGATCGGCAAACAACGAGGGGTAGATTATAAATACGTATCGTGGAATGTAGCAGGGAGTAAAAATATATTAAAATGCAAAGATTTTTTGAACAAGTTTGACATTATTTTATTACAGGAGACGTGAATAGAAAAAAGTAAAGAACTAAATTTAATTAAAAAATTGAACAAAAAATATAGGTGGGAAATGAAGACGGTGATCAAAGTGAAAACGAAAGGGCGAGCTAGTGGGGGAGTTATGGTAGGGATTAAGAGGGAGATAGGTAAAAATGCGGAGACAGGGGAATGGGTAGATAGAATAGTAATAACGAATATTTAGATGGGGAAAGAAAAAATTTATATTATAACGATTTATAACAACGCGAAAACGAGCAGAATGATCAGCAAACTGGAAGGGTAATAGAAGTGAGCTTAGTTGAAGGGAAAAAATTTAATATAGCAGGGGATTTCAATCTAAGGGTGGAAAGCGAACAGATAAGTAAGGGCAGAAAGAGGAATTCGGAGGACAAAAAACGACGCGGGAGGGAATAAAACTCATAGAAAGCCTGAAATACTGTAACGCGGAAATAAAAAACGGATGTAGTAACGGAGACAATTAGCAAGATGTAGCAAGGGAGAGAATTACTTTTCTTTGGGATGCGGTCTCATCGGTCCTCTATTTGGTAATAGAAGGAGGAATTGGGCTAACAAAGATAGTGACGGGGATAGAAATAGTAACACGGATAGAATCTGACCACCTACCAGTAATTTTCGATTTAGGGAAAAGTGAAAAAAGGGAGGAGGAAGAGGAAGGAGAGAAGAAAGACTAATATGGAGGAAAGAAGAGGCAGAGGAATATGAGGATTGATGGAGAAAAAATGGAGAATAGAAGAACTGAGAGGTAAATTACTGCAGGATAAGTGGAATAATTTCGTAATGAAAATAAAAGTAACGGCTGAAGAATTGAAAATGAAATGTAGCGAAAGGGGGGGAAGGGATGGTCGAGTAGGAACAAAGATAGAGAGATAAGGATCCAAACAAGAGACTATGGGAAGAGTTGAATACATGGAGAGCAGACAGAACGGTGGAGAAGAGAGAGTTTTTGGAATGAAGAAAAAAACAAATTAAAAGAGATGATAGCGAGAAAAGTAAGAAAGGAAAACGAAAAAAAAATCGAAGTCATGGCAACGAAAATAATGGCCGGAAGAATCAGTGAATGGGCAGAGAGCAATAGGGTATATAGAGAAAGTCAAGCAGGATTCAGACGGAAAAGAGGGACGAGAGAGCACATTTTTGTATTGAACTCAATTATAGGCAATAAGCTAAAAAGGAAAGGAGGGAAATTGTATTTAGGATTTATTGATTTCAAAAATGCGTTTGACAGAATAAACAGGGATAAAATGTTGAAAAAATTACAAATGAAAGGGATAAGAGGGAAAATGCTGCAGATGATAAAAACAATTTCCAAATCAAGAAAGAATGAGGAAAAAATAACTAGTGAGGGGCTATCAGAGAGTTTCGAGACGCACCACGGGGTAAAGCAGGGGTGCCTAGTAAGCCCTAACCTATTCTGTTTGTTCATAGACGATATGGATGATATTTGGGAAAAGAAAGAACGAGGAAGAGCGGTAGTGGGATGGAAAAAATTCTATTGTTTAAAGTTTGCGGATAGTATTGTAATTGTGGCGGATAATGAGGAAGGAATGAGGGAAATGTTGAAAGAAACAGAGATTTACAGTAATGGAATAGGAATGGTAGTTAATACAGAGAAAACTAAGATAATGATTTGTTGTGAAAGAAAATGAAGTAAAGGGAGAATCTTCTCATACAAAGGCAGAAAAGTGGAGGTAGATAGGAAATTCAAATACTTGGGGTACTGGTTTACTGAAAAAAATGTGAATACGAT